CTCTCTCTCTCTCTCTCTCTCTCTCTCTATAACCCTTCAGTCTCCTGCGCGACATAGGTCATTTGTGAACTCCCTCCATGTCGCTCGGTTGGTCGACTTCCGCTCCATTTCCCTCCAGGTGTAGCCCTTCTTCTTGAGTTCCGCCTCCGAGGCTCACTTCCAGGTTACATAATTTAGGTCTTCCTACCCGACGTCTTCCTTGCGGGTTCCAGCTCAGCGTCGTGCGTGTTATGTCGGTCGCTTCCTTCCGCAGTGTGTGGCCCACCCAGCCCCATTTCCTTCTTCTCATTCCGAATCGCATTATACAAGTCGAAAATGTGTGTGTGTGCGTGTGCGTGTGCGTGTGCGTGCGCATGCGTGTGTGTGCGCGCCCCGGCGCGTGTGTGTGTGTCACCACCTCCAATCCACGGCCGCCTGCTAGCACCGAGGGCCGCTACCGACACCTGCTGTCATCAGGTGACAGGTGCATTCCACTTTCTTCAGCTTAGCAATGGCGGCTAGACCGGCTGTCGAAACACTCCTCGGCCGCCCAATATGATGTGTACATATCCTAAAACAAAACTATTACTCATAACACGATAAATATTTGCCGTCAGTCTATGATTTCGAGACACACACACACACACACACACACACACACACACACACACACACACACACACACACACGCACGCACGCCCGCACGCACGCGCGCGCGTACACACTCCGGACTATAGAGAATGGAAACCAAAGCTGGACTGAATCCAACGGATCATGTGGTTAAGCGCACGAAGTTGATTCTCAATGACTTACGGAGGTCAATTTAAACTAAAGTAGCAAAACTGCAGATTCTGCCGGTATAACTCTCCGTTCGCAACGGAAGTCGTATAGCGATAGAAACAGGTACGGAAGACTCTTTCCCGCGGAAGTCAGGGAAGATTCCCTCAGAGCTGGGTTAGATTGGTCACGTGATACCTCATACGAACAAGATATTGGGGGGGGGGGGAGTTCGTTCACTCTCATGCGGCTGCGCAAAATATATGCTCAAACATTTTAGACTTCATCTCATAAAATTACAATGTTCAACCTAAAAGACCAGAAATATTAGATACCGTACGTACGTGTTAACTAAACAGAAATAAACCACAAAATAACAGAATTCATGGCGCTCATGGCAACCAGGAGTTGCATACCTCGCCTTGATTGAACAGCCATTAGATTACTCGTGTTACAAGTGCAATTCTTCATTAAACACTGCATAAAACTCTTCATTAATCCGATACATAGCTTTTTAACAACCGCAGTTTATTCGCTGGTGTCATTTGGGATGCTTAGCAAGAGAATTATGGATTATATTGATGTGAATCACGAAAATTACGCGCGCGTTTTAATAAAAATGAATTAAAAGATATACTATACTTCTTGATTACACTATCATGCAGCTATTAAAACACCTATGAACTGCGTAAAAATAGGGGACACATAAAACTTGTTTTCTGCCTGAAGCCGACTTAGATGATTTCGCATTGCTACTAATTAATGCTTATTAATCTTGGCTCAATCATTATTCCTGAGTACAATGGTTTAGGATAACATTTCCCACACGAACGTTTAGCAACACCGACGTTACAGCGGCAATTGCATTATGTATCGCGTGAATTATTAATTATTATTTATTATTTATAATGTATACTAGTATATATATCTATACTGTATTCATGTACCTGAAAACTCGTTTCGTTTGTTCATCTATTCTTACTTAGTACGAATGCAAAAATAAAATAAATAAAATTTTGACGATATTTGAAAAATGCCTACATGTGCATGCATGGTTGTCATTCGCATTCCATGCAAAGGTTTTAAACAGGTTTACTTCTCGGAAACTGAAAGCGTGAGCTTGTCGTTTGAAACAAAAAAATTTTCGTTTTAATAATGACACGATGTTATTTATTTTAATTACATAAACAGTGATTGCATGCGAGGGCTCCAGAGAGCGGGGCCTACCATTTTCAAGTGTCTCATTATTATTTTATCACAACATATAAAAGAAGTTAAATTCACTTGGTTCCGAAACCATGCATGGTATACGATTGGAAGCAAATTAGTGCAGGCCCACAGTGCATCGCATAATAGTGTAGTAACGGACTACCAATTAAGGCGTGCGGATAGCAACTGGAAAGAAACAGCATACTAAAAAACGAGCCTCGGTTAACGTAAGATAAGCAACGTCAAGTAATTCAAACCTTCGCGGTGTAACAAGGCACGTATGGTGGGTTACACAACCCTATAAAGCAAGGTAACAATTGAGCGTCTGACATCATAATAGGATGTTCGCTCGCCGGCATAACAACAGCTGGTTCCGTGACAACAACCAATGCTAACTACCACAGCGGTTACTCAAAGTGTTTTATATATTCAGATGGTGTAGATGAGTGATTTTAAGCAGTCGTATGTAGAAATGCCTCAGACTTACCTGAAACCTGTAGTAGGTGCCATCAGCCTTGACTGTTAGTACATGATCGTCAATGGGGAAGAAATAGCCATGAGCGGCTACGAGATGGGCTAGGTGGAGGGCTTCAGCTGCAAGAAAGAAAACAGCATACTTAAAACCATCGCTCATTGAACATGTCGCTACGTAGCTGAAAAACAGGCTAGATTAAAACCGGTAGAAATATAATCCAAACAGCTAAATACATAGTAAGCACAAGGATTCGTGCAGTGAATGGATGCAGACACTGTCTATTGTTACTCCGTCACTCAATACACATTCCTACTCAAACATTATGCCCGGCGGCAGAGGCACTTTTAGGAAGTTTCAATGTCTATATATCGATCTGTCTGCCTGCGCGTCTTCCTCTTTTCTTGCTCCCTCATCTATTTCTCTCTCTCGTTCTGCCATGTATGCCATGCTATTTTCCTTGGTGTTTGCCCTGGCTCTCCATTTCTCTTACTTCCTTCTCCTTCTATACTGCGTCCTTGTATTTACTGTTGAGAGAGTGACCAGCGCCATACAAACATCGAAGACGAGTACGATCGGACTTCCCAATAATGATTAACGAGGAAAAGGAACTATGTATGATACTATGTTACTCACAGGAGAAACATATGCATATATGGCAGCAAGTCATGCATAGCACACGTTGAAGGTGTCAACATTCACCGCTGAAGTTCCAACGCGTGAATATAAGCCAGAATGCTTTCTAACCCAAATAAACGCTATTAAACTACCCTAAACTAGAGTTTACCGGTTTATGCACGTAAACAAAATAGAAAGAATCCGATTTAAGAACCAATGTTAGTCCAAACAAGACTATGACGAGGCATGATCGCCCAGTTCGAAAATGAAGTTTTCCAAATTTCAAGGTGGAACCAGCCACCTGTTAGCAAAACGCTTTCTGGCCAAACTCTGACATTATGCTTAGATGACTACAAATACACATTGAACGCACAAGTCTGAAAGGAAGCGTTCATCTCGTTGGGATTTAAACGTTGTATCGACGCAAATTTAGGAGTTCGTTTCCATGGCAACAATAACCATGGCAATGACACAAACTCCCGTGTCAACAAACTTTTCCAGTGCCGTACTACAAACGTACAAAGAAAGTCAAATATCGAACTTCAGCGATATAAGCTAAACATTGCTGACAGTAAGACAGCGACGGATGGCATCACTATATTTACCGCTGGCGTGGGCGGGCGATAAAGCCAATGAAACGTGGCACGCGTTATACGCGTGTAAACTGGCGCGCCAGCTCATTGCTTACAGTGGCTCGAAGTCAATAGCTGCCATGCGAGTAGCACCAGCTAAACACGCTGAAAGAATACAACTCCTAAGTAACATATGCCTCGATTTACTCGGCCCCCAGATCTGTAGTAATGGATAACGTGCTAAATATTTCCCTAAGAGTTTCGGGTAGAGGTCATATCAATAAGAGCAGCAAATGGCAGGCCGCTGCTAAGTGGTGCTCCAATTTAATGAAATGGGTCAATCGCAGCACACTTTATAATAACCTCTATTTACATATGGCACAGCCAGCGCATATTTATTGAGGATCCCATCGCCATACAATCTGGATTGCAACCAATCGCTCATAAGCCTAACGAGGCATATGGCTGTGTATGCTACATCATCGGCGGACTGGTCGCGGCATTTCGCTGCAAAAATCAGCGATCATCCATATTCTTTATCACATTGTAACTTCCAAGGTTAGTATCTGCGCGAGGACGATAATTAAATACAGGCCTATGTTAATCACATAAAGCAGTGTGGTTATGAGCAGCTGCATCATCATCACCAGTATCAACCAAGCCAAGCAAAAAACCAATGAAGGTTCAATGCCTACCCTCATTCCGCCAAGTCGAATTGTATACACTACGGAGCGTCTTAAAGAGCTTTCATTTACAGTATTAATGCGCAGCTTTTATATACAAAGCCACACTCGGCTACACAATTTTATGACAGTATGATATACCGATACAGAATGTCACAAAAAATGAAATAAAATCGCAAAATTGGAGAGGAAATTGGAAGGATTGAAAATATGGAAATGGCTGAGCTGCCATGCATGCATCTTGTTTCCAGAGCAATATAGCTAAAAAAAAATGTGATGCGAATGTTGAAATATCACATGTATACAGTCGTAAGAGATTTGCATAAAAACAATTAGATCATTTGGGCAGAATCACCAGCAGGAGAAATGTAAATTTGTTTTCTACAGCGAAATGCCCATGGCATCAGAACCATGCATCCCCCTAGGATAACAATTTCCCAGTCGTGCAACGTACAGAATCCTGCCCAAATATTTAGTCAAGACGAAGAAAATTATGAAATGTATCGCATCCAGAATATTTCTGGTCAGTTTTTCTACTCTCAGATCTTCTCATGCACAGTGCTCTCATACCTTACGCAAGTCTAATGGTTCCCTGCCAAGATCTCCAACGGGAATACTGGATCTATGCTTGTCATCTATCTCTGGCCTTAATTCCTCATGAATAATGATGACACCCGCCAATGTATCCATTTTATTAGTATTAGCTCCCGAAGAAACCCAAACACAGCTAATCTATCATGAATTGGCACGTGATCCAATCATAACATGCCATGTCATCCTGATGTCATGTTATGCAGCACCTGACAATTCATGAAAAATTTGTTGTGTAGTGATTGATTACACAACAGACGGGAACATCAGCTCTATATAGATATGCTTTAATTGCTGTCTTCTTTCTTTTTCGGATGTGCTGGCCATAATGCCACGTCGAAACCATTTTCTGCTGAGGGGTTTCGTGGGCAGTGGGCCTCCATGTCAGGAATAACCATCACGTGTACATGCGTTATACTAATACATGGCCGCAACTATTTTCCTCCGAATGGATTGGCGTTGCAACTGTGCTAAGCCCTGTATTAGTATAATCTCAAAGAGATGCCAGGCCTTTGCGTAGGTAAGACTATATGTAAGGTCACGTAGGGAACACTAAAATGCTGTTTCCTGCTTTCGACCTTCGACAAGAACAAACACTCTCTCTAACGTTAGCTCTCTAACACGTTAGCTATCTTCTACCCTCCGCAGTATCATGGCTTGACTACCAAGGTGACCTTCCTGGGAATCCTCATTAGGAGACACACGAGTTCCTGGTATCACTATTATAAATCCATAAATCTCAATACGATTTTCCTCAGAAAGCCGTTGCACACTATCAGAAGTAGATAATAGGGAATTCCCTATTATTTACTTCTGACACTATGCATCGTGTATTTTATCTGGAGATTTGACTCGCTGCCAATTAGGCTCCATTCCCACATACTATTGGCTCTCTGCCAAGGATATAGCTTTCCGCTATGAATACCTGCCCCCGCCGCCATGGTCATGAATTCTACTCACGTCGCTCACTGTACTGCAAAGCCACAAAGATTCTTACGCTGCCAGGCAGGAGTTAGATGCTCAATTAGGCGAGCACTATCAAATTTCGCGCCGATTATACCTTACTCTGATCTACACTACAAGGGGCCCGTTGTAAGAAACAAAATTACTCGTAACACTAGTCACGTAAGACTAACACTTTCTCGTAGAGCGAACCCTCTATACACAGCGTATGAGAAACTTCGCCGCGTTTCTTTCAACGGTCTATGCAAAAAAGACATTATCTTATGTCTAGTATAGAGTCTATGATATATTATATAACAATCGTTATAGCAGTCCGTGTATAATTCATATATGAAGAAGCTATTTAAGGCTCTACTACGTGAACGTCCGCACATATACACCATATGATTTTATTTGTAGGATTCCACCATGACACTCACGATCACGTGAAATACGTGACAGATTCATAACATGTATGACTCATGACATCTATTCGTTTTCACACGAATTTCATGCACTGATATTATACACTGCAATTATGCACTGCAATGCTCCCTGTTCCTTTGGTTTAAGACGAATTTACCATCATCATTCTATTATGAGTCACTAGCTTGTATTCAAATCTCATAACCTTTTATTACAAAATAATTAATTAACATCATTTATATGACGATCAAACATACTTCCTAGTAGCTACATAATAATAAACTAGAGCACTCGGAGAGCACAGCTAGCTAGGACCTCCGCCAAGGCAGCTCAATTCTGTCACTGTGGAAATTTTTATTAATTAATTAATTAATTCAATAATTAATTGAATCCGGATGACGATCAAAATGTAATCAATTCTAAGTTACCCGATTTCTGACGTATCTTGAAAAGTTTATTAATTAATTAATTGGATTTGGATCACTACCAATATGTAATCAATTCTAAGTTACCCCATTTCTGACCTATCCTAAAGATGTTATTAATTATTTAATTAATTGGATCCGGATCAACACCAAAATCGAATCAGTTCTAAGTTAGCCCATTTCTGACCTACACCGAAAAGGTGGGCATATGTTTCCATGACAAAGACTGATCGCGTGACGTCAGTGTACGTCACGCACGAACCCGGCTATCTCCGATGTTGAATGCATGTACGCATACAGCCTGCTGATGGTGCTGGTGGTTGCGCATGCATCAGACTTTCCGTATATTAAAGAATGATGCAAAAAACCTAACCCTAATCCCAACCGGAACCCTAACACTAATTAAAAATTGACTCGGATCGACTTATATACTGTCTATAGTATCCCAAACACTATCTATGGTGTCACACGGTCTGGATGAATCATAGAAATAATATAAATAACCATAATATAATAACTACTATAATAACTATGGTTATCTATATTATTTCTATGGGACGGCGGTGGCCTGACGTCACACTGACGTACACTGACATCACGCGATCAGTCTTTGTCAAGGAAACATATATCCACCTCCTGAAAATTCTTCCTTCTTTTTCAGTTAGGCTGTACACAAAGAAACCCACAAACCAACAAACGCACGCCGATGAAAACATAACCTCCTGCCAACCCTTTGGCGGAGGTAATAATAAGTGCGGTCATATATTGACTCATCTTTTTACTTGTCAGGTTAATGTATAGTATTGATCGACGAAAATATCACAGATAAACATTAGTTGGGTCAAACACATAAATAATCTGTACC